TGCACTGTTCATTTAAGAAGACCCTCTTGTCTCTCCTTGCTATTTTTGGAAGTCTGCATTCAATTTTCTGTAATGTTATTCCAAATCTGTGTCCGACCCACTATATTTTCAAAACTAGAACAATGTATTCACGAAGGCTTTCACGGCTGGGATCTAATTGTTGTTGTGGGTTTTTCGGGCTCTTTGGCCATGTTCTGAAGGTTGTTCTTCCTGATGTTTCGCCATTCTCTGTGGCCGGCACCATCAGAGGACAGCACAGAAACGTCAGGAAGAACAACCTTCAGAACACGCCAAAGAGCCCGAAAAACCCAGAACAACCACTAGAATAATTTTCTTCTAAATTTTAGTTCTACTTTTCCACATCTATTTTTGTTAGAACGATCAATACATTTGAAACCATCTTAAACAACTGATACAAACCTACAACATATAAAAATGATAGAGTATGCCAATTAAATAAGAATTACAATCACATGACATCAAGCCAATTCTTATTAATGGCCAGCCTTTTCACAGTTTTCTAGGTAGAGAATACTCCGAAGTGGTTTATCATTCCCTTCTTCTGGGGTGCCACCCCCAGACTGTGCAGCTTGCCCAAGGCCAAGAGGCACAATGGGGAAATCTAACTCCCAGTTTCAAATACTTAAAGAATTGAGCTATTCAGCCAGCTTCCTACATATCAGTTAAAGGCTGAGGGAAGATGTCATGGAATACCTTGTTCAGATAAAAAAATGGGTGCAGCTGGGGAAGTAACAAGAATGATTAAGACATGCATAACAGAAGGTAAAAACAAATGCAGTGTTCTCAGCTACCTTGCAATGTAATGGTAAGTTCAAAAATTGCCCTGGAACTAACTCTGGTAAGTGGTGGGATAAATATTTTAAGTAAACAAAGAAAAGAAACAATAGAGGAGTCTTTTAAATTATACATGGTAACACCTGTCTAATAGACATTTTCCTAGATCTCTCACAGGGACCCCATCTCAAATTTTTGGACATAAACATTCAGTGGGAACCAAAGTCTGCAGCTACAATACACAGTGCAGAGATGGAGCAGCTCACACAGATAAGCAGTGCAAGGAGAGAACAAATATGCCTGATTATGCTTCCTCTACCAATAGGTTGAATCAAAAATATTCTCAAGACTTTTTCTGAGTATTAGCTTTGCAAAACTGGGAAGCTCAAGGGGTGGTGCATTTCAACCTGTTAATAATCCTTTGACACCTATACAAGGTGAAAAGGGGAGTTGCAGCATTTTTAGCTCTGGATGTCAGATATTCTGCTTAATAACTGGATAGCACTCTCAAGTGTTCAAAGCATTTGGTGTGCCTTATCTGGGAGAAATTATTTGTTATTCATGTGGGTTTCACTCCTATTACTACTGCTGCTATAGCAATTACTGTGTGGTGAAAGACAATAGATGGACACATGCTTCTTGCCACTATCACTGCTGACAAACCAAGGTTGTCTCATTTGGTTTTTCTTGCAGTGCTAAATCGAGGAGCATGCACACCATATCACCCATTAATCACAGTGACTGATCACCTCCCCCCCTTATCACAACAAAACACCCATAACAAAAAACACCCATATGATATAAGCCTCTGTGCTGCAAGGTCAGAAGATATATTCATGTGGGTTTCACATGAGATAAGCCTCTGTGCTGCAAGGTCAGAAGACCAGCAGTCGTAAGATCAAACCTACATGATGGAGTGAGCTCCTGTCACTTGTCCCAGCTCCTGCCAACCTTGCAGTTTGAAAGCATGTAAAAATGAGAATAGATAAACAGATACCACCTCAGTGGGAAGGTAACAACGCTCCATGTTTAGTCGCGCTGGCCACGTGATCATGGAAACTATCTACGGACAAACACTGGCTCTATGGCTTGGAAACAGGGATGAGCACTGCACCCTAGAGTCAGACACGACAGTACTAAATGTCAAGGGGAACTTTGCTTAATGTCACTTTAGGGTAAGGAGTTACTCAGGAAAAGAACACAGGAGAAAGGATACACGTGCTGGGCTGCTAACAGCTAGCGATTCAAATACCAGCAGCTGTATGTACCTTAGGCTGAGTTCAGGGTGAAAGCCATAATCCCATGCAAATTTACTTTAAAACCCAGTGACTATAGAATATAAACTTAATGCAGGGAAGCTCATTGTAGAATTATCTTTTTTGAACAAGGAATCATCTTTTTTGTTCAGCCAGCAGAGATGGATTGAAATTCTTCTTATTGGATTTACAATGCCTTCGTTTGCTTTCTCTGTCCAGTGTGACTGCCTGATTTGACAGATGCAAAGCAGCACCTGTGGGGGTGGGGGTGTCAAACGGAGTGTGACTTGTCTCCACACAGTTTCATTTTTTTAAAAAAAAAAAGGTTTCAATTCAGTGCTAGAACACACTATTGCTAGGGCACCTAGGAAAATGCTTTTAAAAAGAGACAGAGTTGGATATTCCCAATTAACACCCTGTTAGCAGATTAAGGAGGCTTCTGCTGTTGCAGTTCTCTGCAAACTAACTCTCTGCCTCTCCCTGATGACTGATGCAAATTGAAATCTGGATGGCAGTGCAACTGACCTGGGAAAACCTGATCTGATAAACTGCAAATATTCAGAAGGTCAATGTATTTGCGAAGGCTTTCATGGCTGGGATCTAATGGTTGTTGTGGGTTTTTCGGGCTCTTTGGCCATGTTCTGAAGGTTGTTCTTCCTAACATTTCGCCAGTCTCGGTGGCCAGCATCTTCAGAGGATAGCACTCTGAAGATGCTGGCCACAGAGACTGGTGAAACATCAGGAAGAACAACCTTCAGAACACTGCCAAGGAGCCCCAAAAAACCCGGTCAAACCACATTTTCCCATGACAGACTGTCATGGTAGATTGAACCATTCTCCCATTTTGTTCTTCAGTATTGCCATTTCTTAATTCCTGTTTGTATCAAATTAAATGACATTGGAAATGGCAATATAAATAGGAACGGAATGTGATTGGATTAAAACACAGGGAAATATATATGGTTTTTCAATGCTAAGGAAACAGAACTACCTTTAGTAGGTTACTTACTGCCACAGGTGACAAAACATCAAGCACCAAAACTCCAACCAGCAGTGTTAATTTTTTTGTTTCATTTCCTATTTCTTTGGATCATAGCTGTGTGGAAAAGTTATCTGTCAAGACTAGAGCTTGTAGTTCAAAGAGTAACCTTTCCAAACTCCTTTATGTATGTTGCCATAGTTCTTCTGCATAGCAGTTCCAGAAATCTCTGAAAAACATTGTCAGGCTCCTGCAGCAACTCAGAGAATATACCTTTAAAGGAAGTAGTAGGCAGGGAAGAAGTGCATGCAGAAGTGGATGGAGGAAAGCTTAATGGTAGGTGGGAAATGCAATACCTTATATATATGCACATAATAATAGTTTGAGTTGAGACAGGAATACAGGAAGACAAGGGGGAGATGGGCAAGTGGAAAGGCAGACAATCCATAGTTTTCAGAGAGATGAAGCAAGTGGAGGAGAATATTAATACAAGCAGAGATCAACAAATTTCCCTGCCATTTTGAAGTCCTTTGTACTCTGCATGTTATTGCTAGCATTTAATTTCTGCTGCACTATGCATCTGATGTGCAAAAAGAACGATGAGAAGTGCAGGAACTTTACATCATTCTTTCTGTGCATCAGTAGAATCTTCTCTATTTTAAGATAGCAGAATTATGTGACATCTCAGGAGGGCCAAGCCAGATCTAATGTTAAATGTCAACATTTTGAAAAATGGAAATGTTATTCATTGGAAAGAAGTAATGAGGATGGCCTCAGTCACAGCAATCTTTGGGTGAGCAACATCCTCTCTTGTTCTAAAGAAAATCTCTGTCCTTAAACTATACCATAACATTTCTAAGGAGGGCTTTTAATCAAGATAAAAGCAGGAAAGGAAAGAGTTAAATTCCATACCTGATGTCATCTTGATAATTCTCAACACTCACAACCAGCATTTTCTATCTACATTTTTTTCAAACCTGCATCTTTAATGCCATAGTTGTGCAAATTTGTATTTTTGGACCATGGTTCCCAGAGGTATGATATGACATAGGGTGTGATCCTTGCATTCAAATAGCATATTGGAGTTCAGTTGACCCTATTTTGTCTGGCTCCTTCTGGTATTATGGAGTGGCTTAAAAAGTGAGCTACTTCTGGATATTAGCAAATTGTACACTTCCTCTGGTTGTAGGTGGAGGGGCAGAGGAAATGAAATTTCTTTTAAGAGTCTAGTAGACAATCACTGAGGCATTGCATCACTTCAAAAATGAGAGAGAGAACAACTTTTTTTGGGTTTCTCTTAAAGAACTAGTCAAGAAACTGCAGTTTCTTGCTTATTAATATGCTTCATGAAATTGGAAAGTCCAGTTGGAAGGAACCTTGACAGCTGGAAGGCTCACTTGTGTACTATTCCTAGTGATCGCAAATGCTGGAAATGGACCAAAACAGAGTTATTCTACCTGCTCTCTCTCTCTCTCTCTCTCTCACACACACACACACACACACACACACACACACACACACACACACACACAGCCCCAGACAGACTTAGAAAGGTGTGAGTAGGACCACTCTGGGGATGTCATGTGATATCTGGGAAAAAGAGTGAACTAGTGCATCTCTGCAACAGACCAAACAGCAGGACAAATGCCCAACTGATTGAGCCCTGAGCCCACCATACTTAGGGCACATAATGAGAATACAGGAGTAACTGGAAAAGAAGATAATTTTGGGAAAAGTTTAAAGCAACAGGAAAAGAGGAACACTAAGAGATGGGTTAACTCAACACAGGAAGCCATGGTTATGAGTTTGCAAGAAAACTCCTTTAAAATAATTGTTTTAAACGTGGAAGTGATGGATTTCTTTTTGAGAAGGGCAGGAGGTGTGAGGTGTGCGTGGACTTCCAAGTTTGGGTGGGCGGGCAAAATATCCACCAGATCCTCAGAAGCTGCTCATCCTTAGTTTCTGTGAAAGAGTTATTGTCAGAGTTTAAATCTGGAGCCCGTTTATGTGCAGGGTTCAAAATTAAAATGAATGGGGGAAAATATTGCTTTGCCGTGTGGAATCCCTTTTCCATATTACACTCCACAAACAATTTCTTCCACGTTTGACATTTACAGGGGGGAAAGTGCAAAACTCAGGATGGGATTCCCAGCAGGCCAGGTATCAAGTACTGGGTGTGTCATGAAAAGGCAATAGATACATATTTAGTTTCTGATTATCATATTTTGACTGCTGGGAAGCTGTAGAAGTTCTTGTGAGATTTTCCGCCACAGGTGCCAAAATAATTTGACTGGCATAGATACTGTACATGTTGGCTTTGGAAGTGGATGGCACCACTGATTACTTTGCCTGGGTGTAAAATATTTATTTTTTTATTCATTTCCCATTAAGTAAGGGAAGATTATAGGGAAGGGGATTTGGATCAGGGTATTGGGGTAAATAAAAAAATGCAGAATGTGATAGAGAGCAGTGTATTTCGTTATTGCATTTGTCGATATGTTTTCTTACTAAGCATACTTCACACTTATCTTACATTTTTTTCTAACTCTTTAAAATCTAAAATTATATCTTATATTTTCTTTCTCATAATTTAACCCATTCATGTTCTCATCTCTCATCCAATTATACAAAAGTTCCCACTTTTTTATAGACTCAGCAGTTTCTTTGTCATTTAATACTTCAGTTAAAATATCCATCTCTGCTGCTTCAAAAAAAATTCTGTTAACTCCTGAGTTGTTGGAATCTCCTCTTTTTTCCAGTATTTTGGCATATTAAATTCTTGCTGATTTAGTTACATGTATGATCAAATATCATTTTTCTTTTTCAGTCGAGTCTGGTATTATATTCAACAAAAACAGTTTAGGTTCATATGGAATTATAGAGGATGACATTTTTGTAAAAACTTATGGACTAGTTTCCAAAAGCTCTTAGCTTCCCTACAAGTCCACCACATATGATAAAAGCTACCTTCTTTTGATTTGCATCTCCAACATTTGTTAGAGGTACTTTGATATATTTTCAATAATTTTTCAAGTGTCATATATCATCTACAGTATATAGAACATCTTTTATATATTTTCTTTGTAATTAATTGCTTTTGTTGGCCCTTCCGATATTTGTGACCATGACTTTAAGTTAATATTGTGGCCCACATTTTGGACCCATTTTATCATACATTCTTTAACTATTTCACCTTGCGTTTTTAATTCTAGTAGATAATTATACAAACCTGGGTGTCAAATATTTTGGGTAACACTGATTCTTAGCATTTTTTAAATAAAACAATTTAGAATAGAGACAGAATTTCTCATGGTAAGGATATCCCATTGTGTTATGTATGCTCTGCAGAGTCGAGAGAAGATACTTATTTGGACTATGATGCCTAGAATCTCAAACCAAATGGTCCAGAGATTCTGGAAGTTATAGTCCAAAAAGTACCTTTTCCAGGTCCTGTAGAAGGGTAAGAGAGAAGTGTGCTCAAAGCCTATATAGTCTGAGCATCTTCCTCTAAATCCTTGATTATGAGATAGTCAAGAGTCTTGTCAAACTCAAGAGAACATAATTGCTTAATAGCCTTGTTTTATTGTGTTGAGGAGGTAGCTAACACTGACTAGATCTAATAGCCCTGCACAAACATTGAATGCATTTTATTGCCTTGTTAAACAGATAACATCAATGAGGAACGTCTCTCCAGCAGAAGTGGAGCACAAGTCTTAAAGTGACCCACAAAAGTGGTGCACACTTTTGCAGAACAGTAAGCCAAGTGGTAAACTGAACTGGGCCTACAGTGTTGAGTGTGTTATATTACTGAAACTGTTCCTGTGGTTAAAAAAAGGAACTGATGCAAAGAAAAGGAGCAATCCCCCATTCTGGAGCCATGAATGCCAATTTTGGTGAGTGTGAAAGCCTCAAGGACCTGTGAGCCTCAGTGGTACTCCAGACCTGGTGAGCTTTGTGCTCAAGTCGCAGGGTGTTAAAATAATTGAAGGGCATCCAGTTCAACCCCCTGAGGAAGTAGGAAGTCCACATCTAAAACATCCTGGACAGGTGGCCATCCAACTACAGTTTTAGAAATGTCAGTGAAGTCCAACACATTCTGATGTTTCTATTCCACTGGCCTCATTCTTAGGAAGTTCTTCCTAACATTATGTTGAGGGCTTCAAGATATGGGGGCAGGGAAGGCACACAGGAGCAACCTACTGGAGTCCCTCCCAATGTCAGGATAACTGGATGGTATCCCCAAAACTACAGAACAAGGCAAGTGCCACTTGGGACAGTATCCACCCTGTTCTCTGTTTTGAAGATAAGGGGATGTTTGTTCCCCATGTAATAGCTGTGATGGGGACGTGGTGGTGCTGCAGGTCATAAGACCAGCAGTCGTAAGATCAAATCCATGCGCCGGAGTGACTCCCCATCGCTTGTCCCAGCTCTTGCCAACCTAGCAGTTTGAAAGCATGCAAATGTGAGTAGATAAATAGGTACCACCTTGGTGGGAAGGTAACGGTGCTCCATGTCTAGTCGCGCTGGCCATGTGACCATGGAAACTGTCTACAGACAAACGCTGGCTCTACGGCTTGGAGACGGGGATGACCACTGCACCCTCAAGTCAGACATGACTGGACTAAATGTCAAAGGGAACCCTTACCTTTGCCTAATAGCTGTGACAAATGCTACATGTGAAATACAAGTTAGGGTTTTACAGATGCAAGAGAGGTACCAGCACATCATCATTCAGGCCACTTATTCATTGCCCAAACCCAAGACACTCATGAACTGAAAAGTGGATATAGATTTGTATAATATTTGCATATATTCACTTATATATGTAAATTAAGAAATGGCTGAAATCCAATGTTCTGTTAGCAGTGGTGATGGTAATTTCTTCTTCTCCTGTTTCTCCCTAACACACACACAATCTAAAAAAAAAAAACAACAGCTGTCCAGAGCAAGTTTTGGGAGTCCATTGGGCCTGCAGAGAAGGGGAAGGAGCCCACCTCCTTTTGCTTCTGCTGACAAAAGCAGTTCCATCAAGTTAAGTACAGTACTGTACTCTGTTGGCTCCTAGCTACAAAATTACAATTTCAGTAGAAATCTTATATCTACTGAGGAAGACTATAACTAGGTGACCTATATGCCTGTATCGTCGTCTACTCCAGAAGTGAAAAACATGACTTTTTTGGTATGTAACTTCAAGAATACAATAGTCAGCCATGCACTGGCCACATTGGCTCTGGAACTCTGGCAGTTATCATCTCGAAAAGCAACTTTTCTTATCTCTGGTCTAGAGAGCCACAATTAGGTAAAGGTTCCCCTTGGCCATTTGTCCAGTTGTGTCCAACTCTAGAGGGTAGTGCTCATCTCCGTTTCCAACCCACAGAGCTAGCTTTTGTCCACAGACAATCCTCCATTGTCACATGGCCAGTGTGACTAGACACGGAACGCCGTTTACCTTTCCACTGAGGTGGTACCTGTTTATCTACTCGCATTTTTGCATTTTGCATGCTTTCGAACCACTAGGTTGGCGGGAGTTGGGACAAGCGATGGAGGCTCACTCTGTCGTGTGGATTCAATTTTACGACTGCAGGTCTTCTGACCTTGCAGCACAGAGGCTTCAGCAGTTTAACCCGCAGCGCCACCATGTCCCTTTTAGAGAGACACAATTAGGGTGGCACAAATGAGGTGTTGCCCCAGGGCATGACATTTTAGAGGTTAAATTACTAATTAATATTAAGAAAATAAACAGCAGCATCTCCTCATCCGATTCACTATTGTGAAACTTGTTCTTTAGTTGTTGCTGTTGAGGGTAACCATTTTCTCTCCTTTTTTTTTTCTTGGGGGTGACTCACATCCATTTGTTAGGGTGGAGTGGATGGGAGAAGGTGCTGATTGCCCCAGGTACCAAAATGGCTAGTAAGTTCTCTGCTGGCCTGCTACCCAATTAATATATCTCAAGGCACTTGCCTTTTCTTCTTAATGGTTCTGTACCTTACACCAGAGCTAACTGGATGTACTTTCTTCCACCAGAATGCTATCTTCTGTAAAACAGCTCATTACCATCCTAAATTTGGATGTTGTTCCATGTGGAAGGAACAGCAATGGAGAAAGGACTGGGAATTTGAGGGGACAGGAAGCCTTCATATGGTGGAAGATACTTGAACTGGAGAAACAAAAGGTTATCGGCAGAGATGTACAAGGATAAGCACATGTGGAGAAAAGGAGAGACAAGGCCATGGAGGGCTTTGAAGATAAAAAGGGTGTGGTGTTTTTGTGTTTATTTTTGCAACATTGTAAAAATAGGAGTTATGTGACTTCGAAAATGAGCTTTATAGGGAACAAAACAGCAAAATGTTATCAGAACAAATAAAGCATGTTACTTGTTAGATACAGTGTAAGCTGTTCTTTTAGGCAGTTAGGACATTGTCCCTTTGCTAGACTGGCTAGAAAGGGTGATCAGATCACACATTACTCACCAGCAGAGAATCAAGTACAATAGTACGGAAACCTACCACATCAACCTATTCTTCAGTTCAGTTAAATTTTAAATATTTGGGCGTTGCCTTGAAGTGTCATTGCAGGAAAAGAGGAAGGGAACAAAATAAGAATGAATTGCCCAACCGGCTGTGGATTTCTACTTTAAGCACAGATTTATTTATTTATTTATTTATTTGATTTATATCCCGCCCATCTGGTCTGGTTGACCACTCTGGGCTGCTTCTAATAAGGTGTATACGAAAACATAAGATGAGGAGAGGGCTGATTATTCTTCTGAGCTACTCTGCAAACAAGTAGCCAGATTAGTAGCACAAGACCTTCCTTCCCTGGTCCTTCTGAACCAGAACAAATCCTCTGGCTTTCCCTTTCGGCTCCAATCACTACTGCTGGGACAGCATATATTTGGGTCCTAGCCAAATAGCAAAGGATGGCCTGATCCTCCTAGATGGGAGTAAAGTGGTGCCTCGCTAGACAATGATAATCCGTTCCACTGAAATTGCTGTTTAGTGAAATCATTGTCTAGCGAAAAGCATTTCCCCATGGGAATGCATTGAAACCTGTTTCATGCGTTCCAATGGGGAAGAATCGTCGTTGTGTAGCGAAGATCGGCCGTAGGAAAGCCGCTTTGCGAACCGCCGATCAGCTGTTTAAATCACTGTCTTGCGAAGCTTAGGTCCCAAAAGCACCTGTTTCGCGAGTGCAGAGGAAGCTGTCAAAATCGTAGTCTAGCGAAAATCGGTTTGTGAATCAGGGACCAAACATTGTCCAGCGAAATTCCCCCATAGGAATTACTGTTTTGCGAATCGCTATAACGATCGCAAAGAGTCAACGTCTATCGAAAAAACTGTCATGCGGGCTAACTGTCTAGCGAGGCACCACTGTACACAGGCTTGATCCTCTGCCCTTTTACATTGTGGACTTTGCACTGACCTTCATACTGCACATTAGGCCCCCTGATACTTAGTGAGGGGGTAATCAGCAACCAGTCCATGGGCGATACTGCTAAGCTGAGCTCTACCTGTTTCATTTCCCTAATTGCTTCCTGAAAGACACCTTGACAAAAGGCATATGCAAAGAAGTCTTTGTTTAAAGGATTTGGGAAAGGCTTAATCAGTGACAATGTGCCCCTTTCCCTTTATCTTTTACTTAGCTGTTTATAGAGGCTTTCTCCCCCTGGGAAATTTCCAGAAAGCGGAGTCTCCTGCTGTGTCTGGTGCCTTCTGCACCTAAGATAATTTGCTTCTCCTTAGCAACATTCTTTTTCCTGGCATGTTTGGAGTCCCCGAGATGAACACTCTGATATCATAAGGGGAAATGAATACAGATGAAAAGGAATGATTCCAAAGGAATGATGACCTCTGTTTTTGAGGATGGCTCCCTTAGGAATGCAATTTGCTCTTCAGCTCAAGAAACGTGTAAGAGGCAAAATAAAAAGAGAGATTCTTTGAAACATTTCAATGTGAGACTTCTTAGTGGACTGATTGATTCAGAAAAGTCAGAAAATGTTGCATACACCCTTGTTGACACCTTGCCTTTAAATTATAAAACTGGCATAAAGGCAAAAAATAAAATAAAACCATAAATATAATGTGTATATTATGTGCTGCCAAGTTATATTTGACCCTAATAGGGTTTTTGAGGTGAGATATTTAAGGAGTGGTTTTACCAGTGCCCTCCCCCAGTAGTAAGCTTCTATGGCTGAGCAGTGATTCAAACCCTGGTCTCCAGAGTCCTATTTCTTCATTCAATCCACTATACAATGCTGAATGCCCTGAATATTAATATTGATAGTTATTTCCATTGTTTCCTGACTTTGTAGTATTAACTCATGCTTAAAAAAATTGTTAACTTGCATTTTTTTTTGTTCTACTAGAGACTGAAGGGATCACAACAAAAAATCTGCATTTTTTACATCTTATTGGGGTGAGGTAAAAACCCCTAAAGATAGAATAATTACATGTACATATATACATAATGACATATTATTCTATCCCCCTTCAAAGTGAACTTGACATATTATTCTATCCCCCTTCAAAGTGAACTGGAAAAAGTAACAAGGACATTTCTAAACTAGCATAGCAATTTTTTTAAAAAGTGAATATTGCTAACCTATTTTTAAAGCAGTGTGGTGTAGTGGATAGAGTAACAGAAAGGACTCTGGAGAACAAAGTTAGATTCCTGGCTCAGCCATGGAAACTCACTGAGACAGTAGAACGGGAAAAACCACTCCTTAAATACCATACTTGCCTTAATAACCCTGTCAGGGTTGTTATAAGTCAGTTTTTACTTGATGGCACATAACTATTTTTTTAAAAAAAACACAATGTTGTTATGGTTACCTTTCATTATTGCTCAGTATGTTATGCCTACATGTAATATCACGAATGTTGTTATGGTTACCTTTCATTACTGCTCAAAATCAGTATGTTATGCCTACATGTAATATCACTAGTTCTAATCCATGAATTCCAAGCTTTCCATACCATCTTTATTTTCAAATTTTCTTATTTAGTTCTTTTATTTCATTTATAATCTGCTTTTTCCCCCAATTGGAGGACATAAGGTGGCTTATAAAACAGTGGTGATAGTGAGGATGGATAGGTAAATTAAAATATTAAAAATGCAATTAAACATCTAGGAATATTAAAATACAATTGAACTTGACTTGATTTAAAAATTAAAAATACCCCAGTATATAGATTAAAAAGTTAGAAAGAAACAGAAGCACCCCTGTAAAAAAGTCCCTCTGCAGCCTGATCAGTGGCCATATACTTAATTGAAGAGAATGGTCTTTGTCTGCTGGTGGAAGGATAAGAAGGATGGTTCCCAACCCCATCTCCTACTGAAGGCAATTCCACTAATTACAGACATTAACTCTTTTTCTAAAATTGGTATTTCAAGGAGAAAATGTTGCATAAACTATAGGCAGGATGGCTTGTCAAAACAAAGTCCCACTAAATCCCCTGGGACTTTTGAATATCCTTATGTTCCATTTTTATAGAGGACAGTCTTTGATTTGTAGGACTGATAGAGAAAAGTCCTCTATTTGAAATTATCCTTTGTTTGAGTCTGTTCAGTCTAAGGGTGCAGTCCTAAATAGCCAAGATGGGAGAGGGACAGATGAACTGATGCTAGACTAGTTAAGCTGGGCTGTATCCCCTCTGTTCTGAAGGATGTTGGAAATTACTTAGGGTTATCCTCTCCTTGGCCTAACCTCATGCTGACAAAATTCCCTGGTCTGGAAGATACTTGGATCGGGCATAATGCAGCCTTTTTCTCACCCTTCTTTGCTCCCTTTTTGGCTTCTTTGCTGGCTGATCTTAGCTAGCACAGCAACTGTGCCTGCAGATGTCTTGAGATCCACCTGCCTGCCCACCCAATGAGCTACCTATGGCCTAAGGGCAATAAAAGGCTTCTGCCCATCCCAAATCCACTTTAGCTGGCATGCCTTTGAGTTATACATGTATTATAAGCTAAGCCTGTTTGAAAGACAAGGAGCCATTAAAAAAAGCAGAGCTGTCAATGAACAGTTATCACCTGGAGTGTAAACCGTCACCATGAAAAAAATGTACTTTTATTTAAGCTGCACAATGCACATCTGTAGATTTAAATTAGCACATGTATTACATAAATTGGTGTCCTCTTTTCTGGAGAGGCACAAGTAACCTACCTTTATGACTTATTTGGGAATAAATGTGCATAGAATTGAAACCCACTGTAATTAGGGAGGCTTTTCCTCAGACTCTTGGAGACAGGATTGCATACTTAGGAGTTTTAAAATTATTGTTTTTAACTCAAATGATTTGGGGTCCCCCCCTCGCTCCGCTAACGAATCACTGCATCCCAATTATACAGCCAGCAGTTCAGGACCTATAACAAAATGCTTGCTTTTGCAAGTTGTTGCTGTTCTTTCCCTCTCCTTATCTCCCACTCGAGAAGCTTTAAATGAACAATTATGAGTAAGCACAAAATGCAAGAAGGTACATTTTTAGCCAGAGAGGCATATCTTCTAGTCTGAGCACAGCTGTTGCTGCTGCAGTTTTAGTTGCCAGTGATTTATACCTCATCTGGAGCACAACCCTTTGGAGCCGAGTTGCTTCTGCTAATAATTTATTTGGCTGCATTCAAATGTTGGCAATAGGGTGCATAATAATCTTTTCAGGGACATATTAACAGAGGCAAAAGTTAATTGTTTATGATGTAGATGTTGATGGAGTGGACAGTTTTGAGGGAGTGGGCAAGGGAAGAACTGCTTGCATGCAATTTTTTTAGACAATCAAGGCAAGCGACATTGCGCCAAGGCTCTATGCTTATGCAAGATAATGCTGTTTTGGCAAACATCTCTGCTTCACATGATGCCTTAGAAAATTAACAAGTGCAAATTGTACATCAGGAGATGAAATGAAAGCAAAATGTTCAGCTGTAGACTCAGACCATAAATGAATATCTGCTTGTGGCACCACTCAAAATCTATTGCATCATGGTTAGAACTGGCATGGCTCACCTTGAGATTTTTTGTTGCTCCTGTTGCTTCTCCAAATAGTCACAGGGCTAGATGGCATCAAGGTTTGTAAACCTTTTCCTTGTACAGATTGGTTGCAGAAATACAATATGTTGGGATAAATGTTATTGAGACATAGTGTTATTGAGTGCTGGGTTATGGTGGAAGTGCTGGGCTAGGATGAAACAGTTCTGGGTCCAAATTCCCGTCAAGCTGTGAACCTCACCGAAAAAGCCAGTCACTTTTTCCTCAGCCTAATCTACCTCACACGGTTGCTGTCAGGATGAAAATAGGGATGAAGATCAGATGTGCTGCTTTAAGCTCCTTGAAGGAAACATGAGAGAGAAATGCAATTTTTAAAAAAATCACAATAATGGAGAAGACAATGCCTACCCCAGCACAAACATGTTTTAAAACAATAGTTTTACCTCAGTGTGTATGAGTATACATTTCTTTCTTTTCTTTTCTTTTTTTTACATAGCCGGGCTTTCTAGCATCTTAGTACTTGCTGTAACAGAGAGGGGAAATATTTCTTTGTCGGCTTCCAGAATTTCACACCCAGCATGGCAGTAATGGTGCAGGCTATGGTATCCTAGGGGTGGTCATCTAGAAAGGGAAGATTCCCCATCTCTTGGCTGGTATAGATGACATTCACAGGCTTGTTGTGTTCTCCCTCATCAGAGGCTTAAGCCTGTGAATGGTATGTATGCCAGCAAAGAGATGGGGAATCTTCCCTTTCTAGATGACAACCCCTAGGATGCCATCACTATCACCACCACTGCCATGCTGGGTGTGAATTTCTGGGAACTGACGAAAGAAACATTTTACACATGGAAAGCCAAAGTGTGAGTAACAGCATGGAAAACAGGCATGTGTTGGCTGATTCTGTTTGCAGGATATCTCTTCAAAGTTTTGGCAGCGTTCTCAAGAATAGCAAGTGCTCTCTCTCTCTCTCTTTCTCTCCATCTTTTGAATATGTTTGTGAAACAAGATGGTGGGAATTCACTCACAGAAACACAGAGACATACCTGCAAATGTTCAGACATGCCCCCCCCCACTCCAAAAACAAAACAAGTGTACTATGGCACCTTTAAAATTAACACATTTATTTCAGTGTAAGCTTTTGTGGATTGCAGTCCACTTCTTTAGACATACCAGGCACAAGATTTCCACAATACCTTTTGTGATTTCGGTTGTTTCTGTTGCTGAATGAGACACACATAGATAATTACTGAAACTGAAACCTGGACCAAGCCCTACATCAGGACTTGCTAGGGAAAGCATGACATCACACATAAAGGATCTCAGAGCGAACTTCTTCCTGATTTAACTAAAAAGGCAATAGTTCATACCTTATGGACAGCAAAAACCACCACCCACCAAATCACAGCTTGCAGTATTTCCTAAGCCCTGGAAAGTTATGTTCTTATGTAAGACCAATTTGTACTTGCAGCTAGCTTTGAAGGCTGGAGGCCATTAAAGTATATTACCTTGAAAGAAACATGCCGCTTTGCCTTTCAGTGAGCACTCATGGAAATAAACTGAAACTTGCCGTAGGGTCTATAATCTGTTCCAAACTGTCAACCTCTCAAGGATACAGTGACAAATGGCAATTTTGCTTCCACTGCAGATTGTCTAAATTTGAAACATATATGAGAACTTGCATATCACCATGGCAAGCAATTGGAAAAGACTGGGAATTCTACATGTGATATTAAAAGACAAACTTGGTGCAGTCCTTCTTTGAATGAATATTTTTGGAGTTTATGGAAAGCGCATGGGGTGGAGATGGTCAGTCAAAGTTTAATTGCAGGACACATTAAGTAAACTAGTACTTAAAAGCCAGGTGAAAATAAACACTTTCATGCACAATTCATAGTTAAAGCAGTAGAATTTCCACCCACAAGATGCAGTG